GCAAGGCAAAGAGGCCCGCGCCAGAGGGCGCGACCGCGGCAGCAGCAAGACGAAGAGGCCGCGGCACTGGGCGCCAGCCCGGCGCCCGAGCCGCCAGGGCAAGGCGGGCCCGAGAACCCCGGCGAAGTCTGGGGCGGACCTGAAGCGGACGGAGACCCACGACCGCAGAACGCACATCCCCCTGCGGGGCCGAAACAATATCGCTGAAGTAGCACATGCATACGGTCGGGACTCCGCTCAGACCCGGCACGCATAGCAGCCGCGACGTCGTCGGAATGGTCAACACGCGCGCCCCCCCACCAGGCCCCACTGGCCATCCTGGGCCAACTCTCGAAGTGGCCGCGCCCCGTTTGGGCTTCGCCTGGGACGAGGCCCCCAGCGGCGAGGACGACGGAGGTGCCCCCGCGCGCCCCGCTGCCCGCTCGGCGCCCAAGCGCGATCGAGAGAAGTCCACTTCCTTCGCGGAATCGCCCTGCGCCGAGAGCACTCGGGGCCCCGCCATCGGAGAGAGACAGCTGAGCCCCCCACTACGCGCGGGGACGGGTGGCCTGCACGGGCGGCGCCTCCAACCCCGCGAGGGGCCAGGCGGCGTCCAGATAGCCGCGGCCCCCTGCAAGGTGGTCGATGAACACGCACTGGCAACTTCCGCGGGTCTCCACCCTGTCCGCACCCCCGCTCTCGGACGCGCGCCACTGCCCCGCGCTGAGCCACGCAAACATGCGCCGGGATCCCCCGCGTCGCCGGGCGGGCCCCCAAAGGACTGCGCTCGCGAAGCTACTGCAACATCGCCATGGGGGCGAACGCAAACACTTCCACCCCCGGAGCACGAGCGAGGTTCGCCCTCAGGATTGACCTCACCTCTGGCCCGTGCTGCACCAATAACCTCATGCCCGTGAGAATAAACACTAGGGAATAATAAAGTTCGGGGTTCAGGGAGAGATAATAAAAGTAGCCCAGCAGACCTCAGCATAATCTCGAAGTAAGAAATGATCAAGAGGAGACCAAGCCGAGCACGTTTTGAGACATCCTTGGCGTTTAGTTTTCATAGAAATATCCTCAACAATGGCTTATCTCGCTGGAATGGAGGCGGCTATATATAAAAAAGAAAAATAAAAAAAGAATAAAGAATAAAAAAAGAAATGATAGGAGGAGGAGAAAGACGAAGAGAAGAAAAAATCTCGAGTTTAAAACCTATTAAATTTTAATTACAAACGCTGTATGAAAATTGTTGTTTGCAAGTGCTCGTGCAGGGTAGCTCATGTGCCTCAATTTCCATGGATAATCAACCCCAGAGATAAAAAAGTTCAGGCGAGCGCGGGGACAGAGAGAAATATAAAAGAAGAAGAATACAGTAGAAGAATAATAAGAAAGAAGAAGAAGAGGAGAATAAGAAGAGGACGAAGAAAGGAAAAATCCAAAGTTCCAAATCTATCAATTTTAATTTACACACGCTTTATGAAAACTGATTGTTTAAAGTGCTCGTGTAGGGTAGCTCATGTGCTTCATTTTCCATGGATAATCAACCCCAGGGATAAAAAAGTTCAGGCGAGCGTGAGGACAGATAGAAATATAAAAGAAGAAGAGGAAAGTAGAAGAATAATAAGAAGAGAAGAAGAAGAGAAGAAGAAGAAGAGAAGAAGAACGGAAAAATGGAAAGTTCCAAATCTATCAATTTTAATTTACAAACGCTTTATGAAAATTGATTTTTTTAAGTGCTCATGTAGGGTAGCTCATGTGCTCCCCTTTCCATGGATAATCAACCCCAGAGATAAAAAAGTTCAGGCGCGCGCGGGGATAGCAACATCGCTTGATGTTGCTATCTCAACATAGCGTTTCGAGGTGATAATGAAGTTCGGCCTCAGCGCTCGCCGCCCAATTTGAATTTTGCATAGGGCGACGATAATCAACTCTAAACACTGAAGGGGGGGGGTCCCTTTATTATCATCGGCATGCGGTTACTTGCCGCCATTCTATGCGACGCGCGACGCCGCGCATCGAGGTTCTGGCAGCCCCCCCCACGGCCCCCGAAGCGGGCCGTCGACTGGAGAGGGTCGCCGGGCACCCCCAGCAGGGGACGCGTCGCCCCCCCCTGGCGGCCCCGACCGCTGGACGGACCCCCGCAGTCACAGCGACGCCAACTCCAAAGTGGACCGGGGGGCGCTGCTCACACGGGGCTCGTCTCCCGCGGCGCCCCCCTCGGCGAAGCCACCGCCCCCGTCGGGCCCGGAGAGCCCCGGGGGCGCAGGGAGCGGCGGCGGGGCCGCGGGCGGCGCGAGCGGAGGGCGCGCGCGCCCCGGCCTGCCCTGCACCCAGGCAGCCACCCGAGCCGACGCTTGCGCAGTTGCACGGCTGTGGACCCGCTGCGGGGAGGGGGAGGCGACTGGGCGAGCGTCGCCTGCAGGCCCTCCCAGGGGATGCCTGCGCGCCCCGCCTCGTCGGCGAACAACTGCGGCACCTCGGGGCAGGCCCCCCGAAGGTCGGCGCGAGCCCCCCTGGAGGGAGCCACCGCCTGGGCCACATTCGCAGCCATTAGACGTTGGATCTCCAGCTGGACCCCCGCTCGGGCCATTGGCGCCCCCTCGTCGAGAGCCGCGGCGATGGCCCCTCCCGCCCGCGGACGGGCCATGCCAGCCCACGGCATCGGCTGCGCGCCTAGACGGCTTCGCGCCGACACGGGGGGCACCTCCGGCGGCGGTGGGGCCCGCAACGGGAGAGGAGGTTGATCCTCGAACACTACGTCGCCCTCTGGGCAGCCCGCCCCGAACTCGTCCGCGGACTAATATACAGGGTGGCCGTCTCGGCGCCTGGAGCGGCCTCGTCCCCCTCGGCGGGCGCCGCGCCGCGGGTGGCTACGTAGCCCTCGCGAAGGGCGAAGACCCCCGTGGGGCGCGGCCAATACGCACGGCCGCGGCCAGCCCCGAAACGGAACGAGCCCGTCGCTGTCCCCCTCGTCCGGAGGGGTGAGGGCCTCGAGATCCATCTCCGGGACTAAATCGACCACTAGCACGGAAGCTGTCGTGCTCAGCGGGCGAGCTGCCGCGCCGAGCAAAGGCGAGTTGACCACCTAAAAGGGCCCCACCAGCCGTGTGAATCCTTCCGCCTGCGCCAGACTGGGACTGTCGGCCGAGCGGAAGGATTCAGGCAACGCCAGCACGATGCCCCCAGGCCGAGCGGCCAGGGGGATCGTTCTCATCGCGGCGCAGCTCACCCGGTTGGGCGAGGGCGAGGTGAGCTACGCCGCTGGCGGATGGGCCAAACGCCAACGGTCGTACATGGTGGCTGACGGCGGAGTGAACGGGTGGAGCTCGGGCCAGACAGGCCCGCCGGGGATGACGAGCCCCCCCGCTGCCGAAGCAGCGGCTGCCATTGCTGGTAGCACGCGCCGAGGGACCCGCGGGCCACCCTAGAGGACGAGCCTCGGAGCGGGGCTGCGGGCGGGCCCTGAGAAAGAACCCGCGCGAGCTCCTCAGCCCGTGTTCCTTGGCCGTAGGCCCGAGCGCACTGCGCGCCGCGACCGCGCGCGCCAGGGGCTCCGATCACAGCCCGCGCGCGGGGGAGGGCCGCCAGCCCCCACCAACGGGCCACAAAGGCCCCGACGAAGCAACCCCCGCAGAGGCTGCAGACGGCCGTGGCCCCAGGAAGGGCCACAACCGTCGAGAGCAGCACAGGAGTGACCCCGCTGCTCCAGTCCTTCGCCAGCTCCAGACAGACGGTGGGGCAGGCCGCGACCCGAGCGGCAGGGGGGCAGTGCCCCCCGCCGCTCGGGTCGGCCTGGGCGGGCCACGGCGTCCCCGCGGAGGAGGCGCCGAGGTCCGCGAGCGACGGGAGAGGCTGGCCCACGAGCCGCTTGTGGAGTGCGGCTCGTAGGCCTCGGAAGAGCAACTCACCCGCCCCTTCGGTGGCTGCCTGAGCGAGCGCCTGCATAGGGCGCCCGCCCGAGGGGAGGCCACGAGGGGACTCGGGAGAAAAACAGCTGCGACACGAGGAGCATGTGGACTTTGCCACTGGGGCCTTCACAGGAGCTCCCTGTGGGGCCACGAAACATGTGAGTGGTGTGCCATAATGGGCGGGGAAACGCATGTGCACTTAGCCACTGGGGCTTCCGGTGGAGCTCCCTGTAGGGGCACGAAACGCGTGAGGGGTGTGCCGAAATGAGCGGGGAAACGCATGTGCACTTTCTCTCTGGGGCCTTCGGTGGAGCTCCCTGTAGACGCACGAAGCGTGTGAGGGGTGTGCCGAACAGGTTAGAATGCGGAGGGCAGAGGCCTGGATGGGAGGAAGGAGGAGGGAAAGGAGGAGAGGAGAGGAGACGCGGGGACCGTCTCTTCAAAACGAAAACCACTGGATGGCTAAAGAAAAAACACGCCCGCGGCGACACCGACAGAGAATCTTGCTCCAGCGGCGGGGACCTCATTTTTCCGTACCCATTTCGACCGCAGCGGGCAGTGGGGACCCCGAGCATGAGGGGCAACGATAAGGTTAAACTAGCTCAGGGGGTGAAACAGCGACCTGGAATCGGCGGTACATAAGCGATAGGCCGCCTGACAGCGAAACCGCACGTCCCCAGGCGGGGTGGCGCTACGGGTCCACTATCGGCGATCAGCGAGCGATCGGGGGTCGATGATTCCCCCCCGCCTAAGCCTATCCCTCTCGGTGGCTGGCCCTGTCGATAATCCTGCGAACGCGTGCCAGCGCCAACGCGTGCTTGTCAGCCGAGGCCCTTCGACACGACGCAGGCGGTGCATTGAGGGCCGACGCAGGCTGCGTCCTATCGGCGGCGCTGGGCGGGTAAAACCGCACACTGGGCCAACACGTCTCCTGAGCATCATCGACCCTGCGAGCCGCCTTCACCCTGCGCCGCCCGCGGCCCTGGCGCCGCAGAGGGCGCGGGCACGGCCGCCCTTGGCGGGGCCGCGTGCGCCGCGCGCTGCCCGCCCCTCGGCGCCCGACGACCATCGCCCTTCGATCGCAGCGGGCGGCGAGGCCCCTGAGAGCCGCCCTCACCCCGCGCCGCCCGCGGCCCCGGCGCCGCGGGGGGCGGGCAGCGTGGCCACGGCCACCGTGGCGGCCGCGTGCGTCGCGTACCACCTGCCCGCCCCTCGCCGTCCGACGGCCGCTGCCACGCGGCAACCCGCCGCGCCCGGCGCCGTCGCCGGGCAGCCGAGCTCCGCCGCGCTCAGCGCCTCCAGCGCGGGCCCGCACAGCCCGCCGCCGCAGTCCACCGCCGCCAGCAGCACCACCGCGTCACGCGGCAGCGCCCCCGCCCACGCGGCCGCCCCGGCCGCGCCACGGAGCGTGCACGGCGGCGGGCAGTCCTGGAGGAAGACACAACACACAAGACAAAGCAAGTCCGTCGACGCGGAAATCTCCACGCGTGCATCTCAGTTCCTGGCACGTCCGCGCATGTCGGCCTAGGAGAGTCTCAGCCTCTGGCGCCTGAGCGCTCCCTGGCGGCTTCCCCTCGCGGCTCTTCGAGGGCTGCTCCCCACGGAGGTCCGCGCGGGCTTCTCGGATCGGCGCGGGAGGCCCCTGCCGGCGGCGCCTCCGTCGCCGCCGCTGGCGCGCTCCGCGCGCCGGGTACGGGGAGAGTCCAGCGCCGATGCGGGAGATCTGCGCGGGCCCCCGCGAGCCTACCCGGAGGCCCTGCGTCCAACCCTTTCCCCGGGGCTAGCTCCTCATCCTGAGTCGTTTTCTGACGGTCCCGGGGCCCTGCGAGGGCCAGCATGGGCTCCGAAGGCCAGCTTCTGCAGAGAGCCCCCGTCTGGACATGTTCAACGCGCCGGATCTCTGGGTATTTTGATGTGCCGTTCTCTCGTCGCCGAGGGCCTGGCCCGAGGGGCTCTCGGCCGCGGCGTGCACGCCTTCGCCCGCGGCGGCGAAGAGGAGGCGGTCGCCGGCGCAGAGCGCGGCGCTGGGCGCGGGGAGCACGGCGCAGGTGGCCACGAAGCGGTCGTTCGTGGGGCCTCGGGGACGCAATTCCCCAGAGATCTAAGGCTCCAACGAAAACAATGATGCGGCCGGTTTTTAGCCGTTTTCGGCCTCTGGGGCTCCCAGGGCCTCGGGGCCATCAGAAAACGACTCAGGACGAGCAACTGGCCCCCAAGGGAAGTGGTCCAGACCTCTGTGGCCCACGCATCGAAAAAAATGGAGCGGCCGGATGCCTGGATGAGTCACCCCGGGCCCGGGCCAGCCAGAGCGGCTTGGCTGAGCCCAAATGGCGCTGACTCTCGTGAATCTCAAGTCGGGCATGTCCTCCTACAGGGAGCTTTTCGACGAAAGTGGAAAAATTGCCAAAACATGTCCAAAAATGGTTCACAAATACTCGAAAAATCGCTCCCCTGCTATTTTTGCCTCTGTTTGAACTTTCCTCCTGCAGAGGGACGTGCCCGACGTCACGCTGCTTGCGCGAGCTCCCAGGGCCCTCGGTCCACCAGCCGCCGGTGGCGTCGCGCGACCAGGCCGAGGCGTGCCCCTCCGCGGCGGCGGCGCGCGAGCCAGCGCCCGAGCCCTGCGCCGCCGGCGGCGCCTGCGGCGCCGCGCCCTCCGGGCCCGAGCGCCAGGCGGACCAGCTGGAGCCCCACGCGGCACCCTCGCGCACGATGGGCCCGGAGGCGATCTGCCCGACAACGGACGCCAGGTCCGGCTCCCCCAGGTGCGCCTGTGACTTCTCCGTGTCCAGCCCAGAGGTCCGACGGTGCCCCAAAAAAAATGCAGCGCGTCGCAGAAACGCACGACCAGACTTCTGGACCCCAGCTTCCTGCGTCATTTTTCGAGCCGGATGGATCTGTGAGGAGCCCTGGGGGCCGAGATCGAGCGAAAACGCCCGGCTCGCCCCCCTCCAGGAGCCGACGAGATCGCCCGACGCATGCCCCCCTGGTCCCCATCCCCCCTCACGCTGCCCCTGCGCCTGGAGCTCCGCGAAGGCACCGAACCTGGGGAAGCCCAAAGGTACCGATACCGCTGCTCCCTGGACCTCTCCCACGGTGCGTTCTGACCCGAAGTTCGAGGCGAGTGCAGCGGTGGCGACGAGGGGCTCCCAGGAGGCCCAGAAAGGCGAAAAGGAGGGAAGGGCAGCGCGGTGCGGGTACCTCCTCTTCCTCCTCTCAGAACCACGAGTCCTGGGTCATCCGCGTCAGCCGCTCGGCCGCCGCCACCGCGGAGGGGCTGGCCTCCACAGCTTCCCCGAGCGGCCAGCCCTTCTCGCACACCATGCAGCCTGCGGCGGCGCCCTCGGCCGGGCCAGCCGCGGCTCCGCTCTCGGCGCCGGCGTCCTGAGGGGGCGAGCATGCGGGCGAGCCTTGCGCACGCGCGCGGCGGACAGATCACTCCGGACGCCCGAAACGGGTACGGAGAGAAGGGGTACGATGCCGAGCAGCAGGTGCTGACGAAGACCGGCAGCGGCCGCTGTAGGACGGGCGGCCTTCTGTCTCGAACGGGCAACGACCGCGGCGACGCCGACAACGCACCCCGTGCTCAGGAAAGAACGAGATCTGCTGTTGGACTTTGTGCCCACCGCTTCCGTACCCATGTCGATCGTCCCGAACGACGTGCTGTGTAGCTCCGTTGCGGGCAGCGGGCACTGGGAACCTCACGGATCGGCACGGCCCGACGAGTCTCGCGCAAGTCATGCGACCGAGAGGGGTTGCGAGATTGTCGACCCCCTACCACAGAAACATGACTGTCCATGGTGGACACAAACTGGCAACTCTCTGTCGCTACCGATCGACGCCGCGACCCCCCAAACCGACCTGGAGGTTTGGTTCGGGGTCGGATATCGCGCAACGAGAGATCTCGGGCTGTGAGCGTTTCACGGCGGCGTGGTGTTCCCACGGCTTCAGGCATTCGACAAGGACAGGCTGGCGGCGCTTGGAAGGAGCGGGGGCGAGGGGGGGGGCCTCCTAAAGAGAAGGCAGGGGACTTCTGATCTATGAGAATCCCGAAGGGCCTTCCATGGTCGACGTCGCAAAGATGGCGTGCAACACCGATCTCCGAGAAGCACGCTAGCCGCCTAAAAGTCGGTTCCTCCACGCACGCCAACCCCGCGAGGCGATCATCCTTCTGAGCACGACGTCCCCCTGCCAGGGCCTCTTCGGCGCACGCCATCCCCAGTGTCGGGGACAGCGTGCAAAGAGCGGATCAGCGGCGCCACATCGCACGCTGCCTTTGCAACGCCAACCATAAGAGGCGGGGTGCCTTGCTCGGAAGGCGTCCTCCCCTCCTCCCCGCCCCCCTGCTGCGCGCCGCCTCAGGGGGGAAGGACCGACCTCGGCGAACTTAGGGGAACAAGCAATGGCATAAAGATAAAAACTCGGAGGTCCGCGCGGACTTCTTGCATCGGTGCTGGAGCCCCTCCCTGGCGCGCGGAGCGCGCCAGGAGCGGCGCCAGGGGCGCCGCCAGAGCGGTCCAGCGCCGATCCGAGAAATCCGCGCGGACCTCCGAGTTTTTATATTTATGTTGTTGTTCGTTCCCCGAGAACTGGCCCGAGGGCGCTTCGGCGTGCCCCCACAGCTGGAGCCGAAGCCCGAGGCCGCGGCGCACAGCAGTGGCGAGGGGCCCCCCGCGCACCGCCAAGTACACGATGAGATCTCAGAGATCCGGCGGCTCTCCTCCTCCTCCTCCTCCTCCTCCTCCTCCTCCTCCTCCTCCTCCTCCTCCTCCTCCTAGAGGACGCGTTGCGCCGCAGCGGCGGCCGTTCTGAAACCCTCTGGAGCGATCTATCTCGGAGGCGCGCAAACATGGATAAGGGATCCGTGGAGTGGACGCGCGGTCGCCAAATCCACGGATCGGGAAAAGTGCCTCCCCAAAATGCAGCCGGTGCCGCCCCGTTCGGCGGCGGAAGTTCGCCATTTCCTATGGCAACGGGACCCGTCACTAATCCACGCCCCCGTGATCCATGTTTGCGATCGCCTGACTATCCCCCTGGCCCAGATCCCAGCGAGCCCCCAGGACACCTGGCGGGTGCTCAGAGGTGGCGAAGTGGCACGACGATCGGCGGCGCGGGTTTGGCACGATTCCGAGCTCAACCACTTTTCTCTACCCGTCTGTCGGAAGAAGTAGGTAGAAGCATAAGGTAGGAAGGCAGATACAGTAGGTTGGGTTCAGGCCCTCCAAGGGAGTGACAAAACACAGCCAAAGGCAGAATTCTTTTGAAGTAGGAAGGCGCTTGAAGTAGATTGGGACCAGGGAGTCCAAAAATACCTATTTTCAACGACCGACGTGTAATGAGCGACAATCAGACACGGGTCTCACGCGAGCTGACATAGCAATCTTACGTGGTGGCTCAGACGGGCCGCCAGAGAGACACGCCACATTGGACACGAGGGCGCTTACTCGCGACCTTACGCGGGCAGCTTACGCGCCAGTGTCGGTGAAAACGACCTCGTTTTTCTGCGTCGCTCCAATGGCGACGTGCTGCGACCACCGGGTCCTGTGCGCGCGCGGTATCCGAGCGCGTGCGGTGCAGTGCAGCCGGCGAGCAGGGCAACTACAGGCCAAGCTCGTGCCGTGGTCCCATAGGGAGCTCCACACAAGGCGCCCGGAGGTCGTTCGCATAGCGTCCCCCTGCCCATTTCGGCATACCCCTCACACGCTTCGCGGTCCTATTATCAGCTCCAACGGAGGTCCCGGCCAGATGGTGTCGCATAGCGTCGCCCAGCCCACTTCGGCACACGGGAAAGGCCCCCCGGCTGCCCACCAGATCTGCCTAGGCCGGTTGTGCCTATGCAGCAGTCGGAGCACGATTCTCTGGCGAAGCCCGATTGAATTCCGACACTGGCGCTGTCCTCGGCGGCTTTTTTCATCTCGGCGTACTTCTCCCAGTCGTAGTCGTGGAGCTTCCCGTCAGGTCCCATCGCGAGCTTGTACCTGGGAGGTCCCCTTGCGGCCGCCACGAGCCCACTCCTCCCCTCCACCTCAAAGGACCTTAGACACAAAACCCTCTGAAATCAGCAGAGGTGCCTCAAGACCATCCAAACCTCGTAAGACCATTACCCTCGCCACCCTGCCCCTCGTCCCACTCTCGCTCCCCCTTCTGCCCCTCAACTACCCTCCCCCCTCCACAGCCACCGCGCGATCGAGGGAGCGTTGGCAGCGCACGGTTCGCAGCGGCGCAGCGCTGCCGAGCCATGGCGATGCCTGCCCTGAGCTGCTGATGGCGCAGGCTCAGCTGCTCCTGCACAGCAGCCTGCTGCAGAGGTCGGCATCGGCAAGCACATCGGCGACTTCGCCAGGGACCTCATCCTGGGCACGGAGGGCCGGCTGTTCGCTGCATGGCTTCGCGGGAGTCCCTGGACTGGGCATTCCAGGGGTCCAGCATCCAGGGGAGCCGTCAGACGATGGCGTCCGACACGAAGCGCGAGGCGAAAGAGCAGCCAGGGTCACCGGGCGGGGCCCCAGCCTCTCCGCCGAAGCGCCAACGGGTAGGGAGTCTTCGAGGCCGCCGCTCCCCCGCCACCTCCCCGGCCTCTGGTGAGGTCCACGGGCACGGCACGCTCCATGACGTGCCCTGCCCCACCTCCAGCGCCAGGCCTGGCCAAGTCGGCGGTCCTTCGGATTGGCTTCGACGTCTAGGGGAGCAGGGCATGGGTTTGCACGGGGTGCCAGTTCACCGACTTAGGCCTCAGGGTGGTCTGTATGGGATGCGGCCATCGCGCGCCGAACAGCATCACGGACCAGCAGTACCAGCAGATAGTGCAGAGGTCGGACAGCAGTACGAGCAGACAGCAGAGCAGGGCCCCCTGACCCCGTTCTTGGAAGCGGAGGAGGCCTTGCAGAGAAGCCTGGACGTGACGAAGAACCAGGACGTGACCACGAAGGGCACCAAGGACAAGCAGGACCCAGGGATATCGGAGGCACCCGATCCGAGGCTTCACAATTCGAAGGGGGCAAACGGCTCGTCAAGTTCGCACGAGAGCTGGGACCTTCTCCACAAGAAGACGTAGGCGGCCACCGAAGCAGTCGGGAAGGAGACCGAGTCGCCCAAGAGTTCTACACGGGGGAGGGCTGCAGCGCGCAGAGGATGGACGACTCCCCACTCGCCTCGCTGACCGTGCCCTGTCGGGGCATGGAGAACAGGTGGCTGGAGGGGCCCAGGGCCAGCGTTTCGGACCACAGCGACACCGAGAAGAGCGACAAGAAAATGACGGCCGCCACCGTGCCCCCTGGCACGTTGAGGCGTGGAAGAATGCAGAGGTCTGTCTGGTAAAGGCTTCGAACTCTAACAAGGGACCGCCCCTCCCTCTACAAGCAGACTCCTGCATGCATCGCCCCTCCCTTCCGAGGCTACTTCCGTCGTGCCCGCTCGAAGGTGGTCACTTCGAGCATAGTAGATAATGCCTAATCCCCCATTCCACGCGTGCCCGCTCTAGGATGGTGCACTTCCCATTTGGCAACTACTGCCTGAACACTCATTACATGCGCGCCCGCTCGAAAGTTTGTGCACTTCCCGCATAGCTGCTAATTCCAAGACCTTCATCCCACGCACATTCGCTCGAGGATCGTGCACTTCCCGCATTCCCAGTCGCTGCTCCCAAGCGCTCCAGGGCCTCCCAAGCCACGATTCCTCGTCCCGAGCTTCTCACCCAGATGGCCCAAGATGCCTCGAAGACGGCCCAAGATGGCCCCAAGGCGGCCGAGCATTGATTCAAGACGGCCCAAGATGACTCATGGCCACAAGAGGACCGCCAACAAGGTCCGAAGAAAAATAATTGATTACCCTTAGGTTTTTGAATGAGTTTCGCATTCTCGCCTGTTCGGGCTGCCGTCAGCTCAAGACGGCCCAGGAGGACTCGACGCTTGCCCAAGAGGCATCCAAAACGGCTCCAAGACGGCCCTAGAGGGCCTCCCGTGGGAGGCCCAAGACGGCCTTCGAAGGCCTTTCGACGGCCCAAGACGGTGCCAAAACGACCACCCGACGGCCCCCAAACACCCTCCATACGGCCAAGAGGACCCCAAGACGCCCAAGAAAGCGCCAAGACGGCTTACGAAGTCCCCAAGACGGCCTACGTGGGCCCAAAGGGACCCCCGAGACTGCCTCACAGGAGGCCCGGACAGCCCTGAGAAGGCCCAAACGAGTTGCATCATCATCATCATCATCATCATCATCATCATCATCATCATCATCATCACCATCATCATCATCATCATCATCATCATCATCATCATCATCATCATCATCATCATCCTCATCCTCATCCTCATCCTCATCATCATCATCATCATCATCAGCATCAGCAGCAGCAGCATCATCATCATAATCAGCATCATCATCATCATCATCGTCATCATCAGCAGCAGCAGCATCATCATCAGCAGCAGCAGCACCAGCAGAAGCAGCAGCAACAGTAGCAGCATCAGACTCAGCGTC